CACGAGGAGAGTTTTGGTGTTGTGCCCGAGCCTGTAGGCACGCGTGCTTTCTCACTGCAGGAAGTAGAGAAGGAGATGCGATGTGGGCTTGCCTGGGCAGAGGGGTCTCCTAGGATAAATCCCCACGCGTTACCTTCTAATCTGTATTTTTACTCTCTCTGGTGGCTACTGTAGGTTGAGTGTCCATCCACTTGACCCCTTCCATAGCAGTGGCCAGCACACCCCCCTCTACTCCTCCTGTCTGTGGAGGTTAGAGGGTGGGACAGCCGAGAGCAAATTTTTCAGAGACCCTTGTCCCTCAAACAGGGAGGAACCAGGGAAGACTTGAAGGTGGTGGCGATGTGGGTGCAGATGCTAGGAGGGAAGTGGGGGCACAGGGCTTCGGGCTCTGGGTGCTAGATCTAGGCAGCTGTTAGGGCCGGGAGTTTGGAAGAAACTGTCCAAGGGTTAGGACTTGGTACCCCTGGCTTTGCTCCTGGTTGAGGGCAGGGCCAGCTGGTTAGAACCCCGTCTCCGTGGGATGCTCCACACCCCGGCAGCTGAGCCTGCCCTGTACCTCCCACGTTCTTGCTGAGTGGTGACTCAGCTGTGCTTAGGACATCCATCGGAGCAGGCTCTTCCCGCCCCCACCCTCCAGCCCTCTGATGGGGCAGGCCGGGCTGTAGGCAGCCGGGAGATGGAACCAGGGTTCTTCTTATCTTTTCTTTTCTTTTTCTTTTTTTAATATTTATTGTATTATGTGACACAGTTCAATATAGACACTGGGACTCCCCACCCACCCCTTTCCCAACCCTCCCCCCATGGTGGGTTTCTCCCACCTACACCCCTCCCCACCCCCCTCCGCCCCGCTGTGCAACCACAGTTCAAATTTAGTTGAGATTCCTTCATTGCAAGCATATACCAAGCACAGAGTCCAGCATCTCATTGTCCGGTCAAGTTCAGCGGCTTCTTGGGGAGACCCTCCCCGGTCCAAAGGCAGAGCCAACAGAGTAGAATCCCAGTCAATTAAAAGCCCCAACATAACATCAGCAACAATATATAACGTTAAGGGATAAATTGACAAAGTATTGAGCAACCAATTTGTCAGAATTGGATGCATGGTCTTAACAACTTCCTGTGACTATTTCAATGGCATTTCAACAATTGAGGTGCAAAACAGTTTTAGGAAGGGTGTGCAGAGAAATCTTCCATACCTTGGTGAGGAGTACTTAATCCCTGTGTCCTACCTAGTAAGGTGTGTGTGAGTCCATGCTGACCAAGCTTTCCTTGTTGTTCTCTGCCTATCCATTCCAATTTGTGAGTGTGTGTGTGTGTGTGTTGGTGGGGGGGCTCAGGAGCGTCCCTCATGGTCATTGCAGAGAGGGTGGGGACCCGAAGTTGGAGCCAAGTAAGAACCAGAGATAGCTCCTCTCCCTAGTCCTGAAGGGAGTTTACTGTTCTTCTGTTTCTGAAGACCGCTCAGGTTTCCTGGTTGTTGTTCCGATGACCTTGGATTCTATGATGAAGGATTCAGCTTCCATCCCGTGTAGGTCCAAAGGCGGGGTGGGGGATGTCCTCTGAGTTCTCCACCTCCGAAGGCATTCCAGTCCCCTGTGGTCTCTTTGGCAGTTGGGATGTGGTCCTTGGCGCCCGTACTGATAGTCCTTGGTGGGGATCTGGGAGACTCCAGGTTTGGGATACAAGTCTCCTCCTGTCCACCTGCTCCACTCGGTGGTCCCCCACTGCTCTGTGCCCCTGTTAATAGGTTGTCAGGGTCGCTGTTGATTCCCCCTGTATGTCTTTGTAGTTTTACTGTTGTCCAATGTTGTCTTGAATCTATTGTCTACAAGTTACCTGTTATGTGCCTGAGAGGTTACACTACACGGCTTCCTCACACGTTCACAGGAGATGGAAGGTTTCTTTGCTCTCCCGCCCAATTTCTGAGTAGCAAAAGGTTTTGAGAATATATTTGGTTATACAATTTTAAAAACACATGGGTTGAGACCAAATTAGTTGGTAGAGGTCCATGGGGGAGATTTTCATCATTGGGAATCTTTAGGGTTGATTCATGTGCCCAAAACCCTGAGGGTTCATCATGGAGATTTCCAAGCAGCAATCATAGAAACCAAATCCCAGAGCTCCCTGGCCGGGGGGCCAGCAGGCGGAGCTTCCCACCACATGGCGCTCCGCAAGCCCGATACCGGCTCCGGACGCACGCATGGTGGAGGCCGCCTGCGATCCAGGCATGAGACGCTACTTGTCCTGGCGCCTTCCAGCTCCATGCGGTGGTTGGAAGACTGCTTCCCCAGGTTCAAGCTCCACCCCCTCCCGGTCCTGCCCCCAGCTCAAGCCCGCAGGTGAGCAGTGAAGCAGTCGGACCCGCTACACAGAGCTCCGTGAGTAGTCCACGATGTTCCTGCAAGCCCGATACCGGCTCCGGACGCACGCATGGTAGCGGCCGCATGCGATCCAGGCATGAGACGCTACTTGTCCCGGGGCCTTGCAGCCCCCATGCGGAGGCTGGAAGACTCTGGTTTTCTTTTAGCTCCTGCTTGTCGTTTCCTGTTTTGTTCCTGTCGGGGCCTGGGTCTCACCTTTCCACACAGGCAGTGGGAGATGAGCTGAGGCTCCTGGTGGCTCTAGGCGCTGAATCTCATCCATGGCTATGGCCAAAGCCAGGGCGATTTTCATCCAGCGCCAGTTCTTATGGACTGTGAGGGTCCGCTCACAACACTGGATCCGCGCAACCAAACACCCCCTCAACAACAGTGCACAGCGGCAGACTTGTCCCAAGAGTGTTGCCTGAGATTCTGATTTGAGTAGGAGATAGGCATCCTTGCAGGCTGAAAGGCAAAGAATGCTTACACATTGTTTTGGAAATTTGTCTACTTGAAACACACACATACACACACAACTGTGAAGAAGCCAAGGCTCCTAGAACTTCATCTGGTCTCCCTCGTGAGTCAGTGGCAGGGGCTGAAGCCCCTGGACCATCCTCTGGCAACATTATCAGGAAATTGGATCGGAAGTGAAGCAGCCAGGACTTGAACCGGCACCGTATGGGATGTTGGTGCCTCAAGTGGAGGATTAGCTTACTATGCCACTGCATTGGCCCCAACTCTGCTGTCTTTTTAAAACCTCTTTCCGGGCCCGGCGCGGTGGCGCAAGTGGTTAAGGTCCTCGCCCTGCACGCCCGGGATCCCATATGGGCGCCGGTTCTAGTCGTGGCAGCCCCGCTTCCCTTCCAGCTCCCTGCCTGTGGCCTGGGAAAGCAGTCCAGGACGGCCCAAAGCTTTGGGACCCTGCACCCGCGTGGGAGACCCGGAAGAGGCTCCTGGCTTCGGATCGGCATAGCATCGGCCGTTGCGCTCACTTGGGGAGTGAATCATTGGACGGAAGATCTTCCTCTCTGTCTCTCCTCATCTCTGTGTATCTGACTTTTTTAATGAAAAAATAATAAAAATAACTCTTAAAAAAAAAAAAACTCTTTCCGCATTTTGTCATTCTCTCAATTCCTATTTTACTTTCATTTCATTTGTTTCTTTTTCTCTTTCTTTCTTTTTGGCTTTGTCCTTGTGTGCTCCCTTCATTGCCCGGTGAGCATCTTCTGTCCCCTAGGACAGTTGACCTGGCCTTAGCTGAAGCAGGGGACGTGCTGGGCACGGGTGTCCGTGTGCTGGCATGTGCCTGCATGTATGTGCCTCTAGGTGCGTGTCCTGGCAGTCTGCCTAGAGTCAGCCTGACCCTGTGGGAATGGGTCTCCTGCCCTGCTGGGCTCTAGGGCTCACGGCCATCCTGCTTGAGTGTTGCATTGTGGGCCAGCCCTGCAGAACCCTCCGGCCCAGTGCCCCGCTCAGGCCACTGTGTGTGCTGCTCTGCCAAAGCTGTCTGGCCTCCCGTGGGGGGTGTCACCTGTCTCTGGCGTGGGGTTTTGTAACCCGGGCGAGAGGGCTGTGTGCATCCCTGCTTGTGTGTGGGGACAGACATGTCCTCCTCCAGCTCTTTGCAGAGAGACCCAGGGTGGTTTCGGCAGGAAGGGAGGCTAGCTCGGGCTGTGGCCTGGCTCCCTTCCAAGGCTGTGGATGTACCCAGACCTTGTCTTCAGATTCTCATTTCAAGGCCTGAAGGGCTTGCCCAACAGAAACGGGTGCTGCAAGGCCAAGATCCTGGACGCCACAAGCTGCGTGGCTTCGTCTGCCTGTGCCTTCGTGTCGTCCTCCCTCCGAGCCTTGGCCTGTCCAGATTTCTACTTAGAAGGGTGTGTCACCAAGGGTCAGGACCGACCTAATGTCTTCCTGTGAATCTAATTACCTCCTTAAGTGTCAAGCTAGGAAAGTACTCTAAAAGATTCATGGAAATGGAGCAAAATAGTTTATTTTGGTGGAGACATTTCTTCAGGTCTGTGCCTACAAGGTGTCTTGGGCAAGTTGGTAGAGGATGTGTAGTGGCAAAAGAAAAACCATGTTTTGAAAAATACATTTAAATTCTTAAAACTTTTTTTTAAAAAAAAAGAAAGTTAAAAATTAAAAGGCAAAATGCTGTATTTTATTTATTTGAAAATCTGAGAAAGAGCGCGTGAGAGAGATCTTCTCACTGTTGGCTCACTCCCCCATGTGCACACGGCTAAGCTGCCATCAGACCCAAACCTGGAGCCTGGAACTCCAGCCCAGGCTCCTGTCTTCCTGGCAGGGGCCCAGGGGCGTGCGCTGTCACCTGCCGTCTCACAGCGGCAGGAAGCTGGAGTGGAGGGGCTTTGGGCGAGGGAGGAGCTGCTTGGATCCAGCTGTTACCCTGTTTAAAGGACGCAGAGGCTCCGGGATGGAAAGGATCAAGATGACCCTTGGTCGTCTTTGGGTTGGGAGGGTGGGAGGTTGCATTTGGTGTCCTGCGGGGAACGAAGCTGATAGACGGAGGGAGTCCCTGCTGGGCTTCTCCCAGAGCGGAGTCAGGCTGGGCAGGGAGGGATTCCCAGGCCCATCCTGCCGCAGCCTCCTCAGCCATGTCTCCCTCCCTCCACGCAGGGTGCTATGAGCAGAGGTCAGGAATGCCTTATGTGGATCGGCAGAACCGGATCTGTGGGTTCCTGGACATCGAGGAGAATGAGAGCAGCGGCAAGTTCCTGCGGAGGTACTTCATTCTGGACACCCAAGCCAACTGCCTTCTCTGGTACATGGACAACCCCCAGGTGAGAGGCGGCAGGAGGGGGTTGGCGCCGGCTGCCCCCCTCCCTGGCCGTCCAGGAGAGGGGCTTAGCCCGTGGGAGGGCTTCCTCGCTCGAGCACTGCAGCCTGCTGCTGGTCAGTAAGAAGGAAGGATGCTCCCCTCCGCTGTGTGTGCGAGCGCGCGCGCGCACAAACACGTACGCCATCTCAGATCCCAGCAGTGCCTTTTTTCTCACACATGTAGGGGTTTTGCCTTTGCGAAAGTCGGGCAGTGGCCAGCCAGGCTGGATCCGGGCTGTGAGGCCTGGCCTGTTTCCTTGCTGCTCAGCAGGGCTGTAAGACCTGGTCGCTGCTCCTGCCCTTCCAGTCTGGGGCCGCACCCAGCAGAGAATGTGACCTGGCTCCCTGAGCTTGGAACCACGTTGGACTTGTTTGTCCTTCTAGGGCAGAAAGTCCTCAAACATGGAGCCAGACTTGGGAGCTCATCTGGGTTTGCCGCATAAAACAAAAACCTGGGTCTGAACAGCTTGTGATGGGCTAGGGTGGCGGGGGATGGAGGGAGGGAGATGCGTGGCTGGGGAGGTGGGGGGCAGGAGCGTCCATCCCACAGGGCCTTGGAAGGCCCGCCTAATCATCTGATCTGGCTGTCCAGGCGGGGCTCGAAATTCAATAAATCAATCCAGCAGGCTGATTTTTCAGTGGGTCGTTGTGTGTGGCCCGTGAATGATGTTACAAATATCCAAATGGCCCTTGGCAGGAAAAAAGCCAAAATGATCCCTGTCCCTGGCAAGGACGTGAGTGCAATTAGATGAGCTGCATTTTTTTTTTTTTTTTTGTGGATAAGGCCCCCCAAGTTTCCTTGCCGTGCGCGAAAGTCCCTGGTATTACCCCTGGTGTGGGAGAAAGCTGCTCCGTTGCCTAATGTGGAAGTCCATAGCTGAGTGTGTTCCTGGCACCCTTTCTCCTCCCTTTGCTGGGAGGATGGCAACCAGGACTGGCACGGCCTCAGTGGTCTTGGCCAGTGAGGACTGAAAAGGCGGGAGGGGCTGTCACTGGGCTCTCTGGTTCAAGTGTGAGGGTGGGGATGGGCTTGTGTGAATTCCCCGCGCCGTTGTCTTCTGAGGCCTTTGGGATCTGCCTTGGGATGGCCTGGAGAGGACACGGCAGGTGCAGCAAACGTGCCCAGGAGCTCAGCTGCTGCTAAGGTCCTCTGCAGGAAAGCCTGCACCCCTGGGGTTTTGCCCCATCTCCCCAGTGAACCTGGGTATCCGCACTGAATCCCACCTCGGCACCCCCTCGCCCAGCTCGGTGATTTCCTGTCTGTGGTCTGTGTGTGGCATCCACGCTCAGGCCCACGGCTCCGCGGGGGACGGGATGTGTTGAAGGTGCTGCTCACACAGAGCTTGGACCTAAATCTTTGCAGGCCTGGAACGAGCCCTGGGTGACCGCCAGGCCCTTTCTCTGTGCCCTCCTTGGTGGACCTTCTTTCAGTCACCTGCCAGGTTAGCTCAAGTCATTTGAATATTTTTTTTTTCTTAATGAAACTGTTTTATGCAATACCTGTTCTTTCTAAAAGTAATTTTTATTAGGGCTGGCATCTCAGTGTGGGCACCAGTTCCAGTCCAGGCTGTTGCATTTCTTTTTTTGTTTTTTAGATTTATTTTTATTTATTTATTTAATTTTTATTACAAAGTCAGATATACAGAGAGGAGGAGAGACAGAGAGGAAGATCTTCTGTCCGATGGTTCACTCCACAAGCGGCTGCTATGGCCGGAGCTGAGCTAATCCAAAGGCAGGAACCAGGAGCTTCTTCCGGGTCCCTCATGCGGGTGCAGGGTCCCAAGGCTTTGGGCTGTTCTTGACTGCTTTCTCAGGCCACAAGCAGGAGCTGGAAGGGAAGCAGGACTGCTGGCATTAGAACCGGTGCTCATAATGGGATCCTGGTGCTTTCAATGGGGACTTTAGCTGCTAAGCCACTGCACCAGGCCCCCCCCCAATTTTTTTTTTTTTTTTTTTTTTTGAGAGAAAGACAGAGACTGCTCCCACCTACTGATTCACTCCCCGGATATCAGCAATCGCTTTAGGGCAAGCCTAGCAGCTGGGATCTGGAAACTCTGTTGGTCTCCCCTGTGGGTGGCAAGGATCCCCTTGTGGGTGGTGGTTGGGCCCACACCTGCCGCCTTCTGCAGTGTGCAGAAGCGGGAAGGTGCACGGGACGGGAGCCCTCGCTCCTACAGAATGCAGGATTCCCGGCCCGTGTCTTCACCGCGAGGTCGTGTACGCGCCCCAGTGAGCACTTTTCTGAACTCAAAATGGCTTTCCTGGGGAGCCTTGCCAGTGCTGCCGGCCGATGGTCTCTGCGGCTGGACCGTGCGTCCTGCTTGGAGCCACATACTGAGACTTTTGTTAGCGATGGATCACGCAGGAACATGGTGTGGCCATTGGAGCTCCTGAGCCGGGCTTGTTGTGCGCATCCTCTCACCCTCTGGCTAGATTTGGGTCACTTGGGCCTTTGGGTGCTATGCCTAAGGCCCCCTTACCGGACTCTCTAAGGTCAGCTTCTCCACCAGACCCTCCCTGCCTGGCAGCTTCTCACTGTGTGTACGCACAGCTAAGCTCTTGGGGTGTTCTTGATGACAAAGCCCTCTGAGAGAGCCTGTGGCTGGGGCTGCTGGCTGCAAAGTCTTTGCACTTTTCTCAGGAAGTGGTAGATTGCTTGGTTTGGCTTGCACCTGAAAAGGGACATGCCACACTGGGATGCAGCAGCAGTTCTGGCCCATGTCAGTTCTTCAGAGGAGGTGTGACTGTCCTCATTGCAAAGGTGAGCGGCGGGAGGCCGAGCTGGGAAGAGCTTCGTTTGCGGTTACCTGGTAAGGAGGAGACGGAGCCAGGGGTCTTGTCCGATGGCCCTGCCGTTATGGCGGATGGCAGGGAAGACGGAGCTTGGTGGTGGGTGGAAGGAAGTCCTGCGGAGATGCCAGCTTAGTGAAGAAGTGGCAGTCTTGGCTGCTGCCCGTATCGAGAGGCTATAGAGACGTCCCATGGAAAGTTCTCGGCTCTGGGAGACCAGAAGGTTACAGAGCTGCTCCATCATTAGGCCTGTTGATTGGTGTTGGAGCCATGCGGCATCCGGTGTGTGACCTGCCGGCTGATCCTTGGGTGACTTTAGCTCGTCATTTCCTGCGGACCTTGAGTGTAGAGGCAGATCCTGGGGGGTCACACATGCAAGGGGTCTTTGAAAAGCTCATGGGAGATGTAGATTAGAAACTGTGCCTGGGTTTCAAATGTTTTTGTTTGTTGCTTTTTTTTTTGCACTAAATTAAGTTTATGTCTAAAAAAAAAAAGATTTATTTTGACTTAGAAGGCAGATTTACAGAGAGAAGAAATAGAGAAACACCTTCCATCTGTTGGTTTAACTCCCCAAATGGCAGCAATGGTTGGAGCTGAGCCAGATCTGAAGTCAGGAGCCAGGAGCCTTTTCGGAGTCTCCCACGCGGGTGCAGGGTCCCAAGGCTTTGGGCCGTCCTCGACTGCTTTCCCAGGCCACAAGCAGGGAGCTGGATGGGAAGTGGAGCTGCCGAGATTAAAACTGGCACCCATAGGGGATTCTGGCGCGTGCAAGGTGAGGACTTTAGCCACTAGGCTGCTGTGCCAGACCCCTATTTATTTATTTTAAATTGGTTTTAAAATCTGTTTGAAAGGCAGTGCTGCAGAGCGAGTGGGATAAGGGCAGAGACATACCCACTGATTTTCTCCCCGAGTGGGGTTGGCCACACTGCAGCCAGGAGTCCAGAGCTCCTTCCTCGTCTCCCACGTGGCTGTGGGGGCCCAGTCCTTGGGTGGTGTTCTCATGCCTGCCCAGGCACCGTATCAGGTAGCTGGATGGGAAGTGTGGCAGCTGGGGCTTAGACTAGCCCCTCTTCTTTACATTTTTTTTTTTTTCCAAGTGAACTTTTTGAAGTAATCTTTTGATCACTAAACTCGTCTTCAAGGCCAGTAAACAGAAAAACCATGTTCACGGGTCTTATGCTGTTGGGGGGGGGGAGACGGAAGAGGCCCCACTAAATGCAGATCTCCCTGTCGCTCAGGGAGTTTATAAATTCGTGAGAGTCTCAGGATTCCAGCAAATTCCTGACAATTGCCACAATGCAACGTGTCAGCGTGAGATTCGTGCAAGAACTGCTTCGGTGTGGTTCGCGGACACAGTGCTAAGAATGTGTTTCTTCCTTTCCTCCTCCCTCTCTCTTTTTTTAAGTTTCTGAGATAACGTGTCTTTACATTATAGGCAAAGGCTTAATGTTTGACTAAGGCTGGTGCCGTGGCGTAATGGGTTAAAGCTTCTGTCTGCAGCACGGGATCCCATATGGGCGCCGGTTCAAATTCCAGCAACTGCACTTCCCTTCCAGCTCCCTGCTTGTGGCCTGCGAAAGCAGTCGAGGACGGCCCAAGTGCTTGTGCCCCCTGCACCTGTGTGGGAGACTCTGAAAAGGCTCCTGGCTCCTGGCTTCGGGTCAGCTCAGCTCCGGCCGTTGCGGCTATTTTGGGAGTGAACTAATGGATGGAAGATCTGTCTGTCTGTCCTCTCTGTAACTCTGTTTTTCAAATAAAAATAAGTTCAAGGAAGAAGAAAGTGTAAAGCAACCTAGTTTGGAGGAGTATATAGGCCAGGGCTAGAATTAATAATCAAATAGGAAGATGTCCATTTTACACATATACAATAAATTTTAAAATAATCACAGATCATTGCAACCATAACTGTATATTATTCTTAATCGGTGGCTTGACAAAGATACAAAACAGAGTTTGACCCATACTGACAGCAGTGTGAATACAGGTATAGATCTTTTTCTTTTGTTCTGTTTTTTCATTTTAGCTTCATGGATAAGGAAGAACATTTGTGTTTCTGTGTCTGGCTTAGTTCATTTAACATAATGAACTAAGTTGTGTCCATTTTTAAAAAAAAGATTTATTTATTTATTTATTTATTTTAAATTTATTTTAAATTGAAATTGGAAAGTCATTT